GAAATAATCACACGTTAGGAAAAACTTTCCACTGAGAAGTCTAGGTGAGTGTCTCAAATATAGACATATATTGGTACAGATGTACCCCACTGCAGATTGTGGTTTTCTGTAATGTTTTTTTCCATAGTTCTGCCTTTTGGATAGAACTTTCACTCTGTGCCTCTCTGTCTCAACCTGGAGAGTTGTTTTCTGAATGTGGTCTATGACACAGAACATTGCTGATAAAATCACTGGGAAAGAAAAGCAAATCAAAATCTATTTGAATAGATCTCTAATAATCAAATTAAAAATGTGCTTTCACAAAATGTGTTGCTTTAATGGGTATTCTAAAACCAGAATGTTTCTTGTTTAGTTTAAACAAGTGGTTTCAATGGAAATTCTTCCATGACTCTATTAGCAAGAAAAAAGTAAATGACATTTAGAAAGTGTATAACACATATGTTAGAATGCTGTGTGTTCTACATCTATGTTATAGATAAATGCAGTATGGATATAATTAAAATGTGCTTTCTGTTTCTTTTTTTTTTTTAATTCAAAATTATCTGAAAAACACTGTCCACCTGCGTAGCAGAGAACCACTTAAAGCCACTCTAATTTGTTGAAGCAATAGAAATGTTTAAGTGCAGCCTCCCACACAGGTACCCATTCATATTCTTCATTGATACTAATTTTTACTTCCACCTGAAAAACAGTACTTTTCTCCTCACATACCTCAGATACTAAAGACACTAAGCTATTGAAAAGTTTTTTTTTTCACTAATGGTTCTTCCTTTAGATGTTTGTTTCTAGGATTACACCAGGACAAACTTGCTCCAAGGCAATCATACTAACTCTGCTGTGTTTCCTTACTCTTTATTGTTTGACTGTGTAGCCTTTACATTTTGTAGTGTCATCTCTGCATGTGATAATGCATCCTGCTGACAATCTGAGTGCTCTCTGAGTAGCTCCCTCCACGCTGATTCCTGGCCAGCAAGTGAATGGCCACTTTTTTTTAATTCTCCAAACTCCTTTAAGATTCCCACTCCTTTCTCATCTTGTGAGGTGACGTAGTTGGCTGACAAGCACGGGGTCTCGGCCTCCCTGCGTTGCTCTCCCCAGCTGAGGTTAGGTGCAAGCAAAAATTTACAAATTGTTAAAACCAGAGAGGACATTTTGATGGTGTTTCAACATCAATGTAAAAATGTGAAGTGGTTCAGCTTTTTTTACTTGTGGAGCCAGGTAAAAAGCCCAGCAGGTGCTGCATGTGGCTGTAGTAAAGCAGCAGGTTCAAACTGAGGAGCATCCGTCACCCTGCCAGCACTGAGGCTCCACCACCCTTCCAGATGGGAACAATCAGTACCACAGTTTTTTACGCCCTGTAAAAAGGTTTAGTCTGTGCTTTCTCACCTCTGGTTTCTTTTATCACTCTTATGTGATCTCTGTAAGATGGGACATCTGTTCATGGGTTGCCTGTTGTCTGAGGAGGAGGTTCAGTGGGAAAGAGTCAGTCCTGGCGGAAGGGGAGGCTTCTACACAGCATTCCTGCTGTGGCTGAGCTCTTGAAAAGAAGGAAGACAAAGATGCTCTGCAAGGTTACCTGGGGGATGTGAGAGGGAAGGCCAAGATTTGATCCTTTTCAGTTGAGTTGATTTTGCAAGGACAGCTTCCTGAACACCCCCAGGTGGAGACTGATACGGGTTGAGTTCTTGCAGTTAATCCCTGACTCAGCCTGTACCCACTGTTGGTGTTTTCTTTCCTTCTCGAATCTTGGCTGTAGAGACCTGGAAGACCTTCTTGGTAGAGACCAGGAAAGAGAAGGCAGTGACTGTATTTCATCTGTCTGCTGTCACTAAGTCATTATTCCTTTCAGTAATAACCCTTTATTTTCCTAGCTCAGTGTTTGATTCAGCAACCACGTTCCTCAGAGGTTTCTCAAGAAAGTTCAGGAGTTTAGAGCTAATTTCAGCTACTGAAGTCTCAATATCTTTACTTTCAGAGTATTTTTGAATGATTCTTTTTTTTTGGAATCTCAACAATTCCTTTAACATACTTGTACATGTCTATATGTAAAAGAATTGCTATCCTTTCTCACAGAAGCATTCTGATCTGATGTAAAAGAATTTCAAAGCCACAGCCATAAATATCATGGAAGTGTTTGTATTGCAAGCATGTTCTTACAGCACACCTATTCCAGAACCACAATTCAAATTCTGCCTTTGTGGAAAAACTCTTTGGTGCCTTCCAGAAGGAAGCTGTTGGTAACTAAGTTTCAATGTGAGCATTCAAACAATAAGAAACATAAGATGTTTGCAAAATAAAAGGCGGTCTCAGAGTTGTTTTTAAAGACAGGTAGTATAGTTCTAATGTAGGCACTTGCTGAAACATGTACCATGCCTTGTCTTACTGTATATTCATACAGAACATAGCCTGATAAGTTGCTTTTGCTCCTTCCATGGACTGGAATGATTTCATCATTCTCTATGTGGGCACCTGTTCCAAATTATTTCTAATAACCTTAATTAGGCTTATTTAAAATTTGTAATTACTAATTTGCAGCCTTGATTTATAATCAGATTCCTGTGAATTTGTCAGAAATTGTAGGAGTTGTAAACAAAGTTCCATGGACTAATAACTGCTGTGGTAGCTGTAAACAATATGTATTACTCCCATAACATTCCTCGAGTTGCAATAAATTTGTTTCTCTGCCTGCTTTGGTGCTTGAACTGCTTGAAACTTTTAAAGCAACCAACTCTTACTAAATCATTGTCTGAAACTGGTGTAATAGCTACCTTTTTAATGGTCAGAGTGCAGCCAAAACAAACCAACCTGTTGACTGAAGGAAAAGATGTATACATCGATATAAACTGTTAAACATATTATAATTTTTTTTCCTAAATACTTTGTTGGGGCTTTCTTACTTCCTTTAAAAGTACCAGGCTGAAATTCATCCTGTCTTTCATTTTCATGGGTAGTCATGTGTATGACAGTGGAAACATCTTCAAAAACATATGAAATCCACATATGCTGATAGAAAAAAGACATATTTTAGCATCGGTCATCCACTTAATCAGCCTGATCCTTGCTGGTTCCCTTCCTGTTGTGTAAAACTCTCTTCTTGGTGTCAAGAGCAAATCTGGAGTGGGAATTATAGAGGTCATGTCTTGCTTATCCCTTCAGCTGAGAGGAGAGCTTCTCTCTTGTCATATATCCTTCTTTCCTGTACATCAGTCACTTTGCAAACTGTGGAAAACCAACTTCTAACACTTTAAAGGTTGGAGACCTGCTGTGTCAGTAAAGGACAGAACACAACCAGCAGGCCTTTATGGTCTTTCCATTCCCCTTTAGGTTCCTCTGGTTTCCTTTGTCCATCCCCACTGGTGAGGGAGAAAGAGAGGCTTGGATCACAGGGCCCTTACTTCAAGCACAAGGAATGTGGCTTTCAAAGTTCAGCCAAGTCTGAGCTACCCAGATACAACACTTTTAAACTGTAAACTTTCAGCCAGCAGCACCTTATTACCTATATCTGTGAACACAGTGCAGACCTGCTCTTTCCTGGAGAAGAGGCAATACCACAGAACTACTGATAGTACTGAAAACTCACACATATATAGATATGTGTGTATAGCACATCCTTTGCTACAATCATGGAGTCAGCAGTACTTCTATTTTCACCCTGATTATAGAAACCTTATCTTAGTAAGTGTTCCTCCTTGTTTGCACCAGTTTATAACCTTCCTCAGTTAAGTATCAGAGTGCTTCGATGTTTCTCTCAAGCTCACTGAACAGGAGGAATGCTAGGGAGGGAAACAGAGTGACCATACAAACTTTTGTGTGTTGAAGGTCCTTAATGTATTATTTTCATTTGATTATCACCAGTCAGCACTCAATAGTAGGTTAATATGTGAATATATTTCAAATCCAAATGACTAATTGGTAAGTGAGTTACTCTAATGGGCTCTGATTCAACTGCACTTAGATATGGTTGCCAAACTCCCAGAGTATGACTTGCAACTAGGAATTTTTTTTTTTTCCCCAGGATTTGAAATTCCAGTAACTTTTCAAAACACTGCAGCAAAGTTACCACTGAGAAATTTGCTTGGGGGTTAAAAATATACTGTGGTTATATACATTTACTGTGAGACATGGTCAGCATCAGCTTGAGGGCAGCAATAATCACTAGTGGAGTACTGAGTATGGTTATCCCTGGAAAGCAACAGGCATGGATTCATTTGAATCCCTGCCTGTTGCTTTTCAGGGAAGAGCAGTTTCACAGATAGTTGTAAATTTGTTTCTCTGTAGCATTTGCTACATTTTGAGTATATTTATTTTTCTCATTTGAGTCAGGGAGGACACTTTGAAGAGACTTTTTTTCAAGCTGAGAGTGTATGGGGATTTAAGCCCCCGTATTCCTACTGTGTGACACCTACAGGGCACAGTGTGCCTTTAGTCTATTCATCACAAAGGTCTTTCCATTTTTATATAATATCTGTCATTTTCCTTTTTGAAGAATGTATTTTTAATTAAAAGAATGTATTTTACGTACCTGAATTTTAAAAGCAAGATATGTCCATATTTACATTATTGAAAATTCTTAAAAACCAATACTTCCTGTGTGCATTACAGCTAAAAAATTACCAGGTAACAACTACTATTCCATCTTTAATAAAGGGTTTATGTAATGCTGACAGCAATTACAGTGTTGCAGTTAGGTATGTGCCAGGACCTGGAAGTCACAGACAAATTGCAGCTATGCTATCACTCAAGATATTTAGATTTCAGATTTTTTTTTTTTTTAATTGTTTAGTATGATATAGTTGACCATTTATTTTTCATGGTGATTGGACTAAGCAAATACGAGATCAAAGCATTTTGTTACTGTCTCAAGATGTTGGTAAATAGCAACAGAAGCATGGTGTGGAACAGATGGGTGTTCTCACTTGTTTGGCAGGTGAGTAATTTCTCTGCACATGGAAGGCTTCCAGCTCAGCTCTGTGGCACTGCAGCACACTATCGTGAACAGTGTAGAATATGGACATCTATCTGTCTAGATTCCTGGGAAAATAAGGAAAAGGAATAACCACTTCATGCTCAAGAAAATGAAGTGATCAGCTAGAGAGGGAAGGAAGCCAGGAAAAATATCTGAAGGTGTCAGAGTTGGTAAGAAAAAATACGATGGACCATTTCTAGTAAGATTTCCACTGAGAGACATTTAACTATGCTTTATTGAATTATTAGCTTGCTAAATTAGTATTATTTTCAGATAATAATGTTTCACAGGAATATGCATCATGTTTGGATGGGAAAAGTAAGATTTCTTGTAACTTTGCTGGTTTTATGCAGAGTATTTTCATTTTAAGTTCTCTCTACTTTTATTATTTCAAATTTTATGGAGTTACAACTAATCTGCCTGCAGGCTTGTTTCACACAAGTCTCGTTACCAAAGTGATTCAACACAGGGCCCTGCATTTTAGTTCCCACCTGTTAAAGTTTAATCTTTAGCCACTCAGTTGTTCTGTGACATGCTTTGGACTACTGACGCCATAAAGCGACATGGCACGTCTTAAAATTAAATTGAAACAAACTAATAGAATATGTGTGAAACACCAGGTAGAGATCAGACTTAGAGACTGTTAATGTGAATAATTACTGCCTCAGGCTCAGCTCAGTTGAGGGCCTGCAGAACTCGTGGGTAGCTTGAGCTGCTTTGCAGGATGCTCTTGGGAACTGCTGTACTTCTCTGAGAGCTTCAGGTAACACTGCTTGCTATGTCATTTGTTGTTAAAACGAACAATCAGACCCAACCTCCACAAATCTGTGAACAATCCTGCAATGTGAAAGGTCAGTGGGATCCAAAATCCCAAGAAAGGAATTCCAGTTCAGAACTGAGCTGCTAAATCAGGACACATTACAAAGGGCCCTGGATAATTCTGTACAAGAAGATACATTCAAAGTGAATTCCAGTGAAGATTACAGTAGTTGTTATTGGACTACACTAGTATTTAGAATCTTAGAATAATTAATTACAAAAAAATCAAGCAAAATATGATGGCACTTTTATCTCTTTAGCAGCAGCAAAGATATTGGGCAAGGCATACAAAGTATCAGGCAGTATTAACTCAAGTGAACTGATGTGTGGGGAACTGAATGCTTAGAGATGTTATGCATTGTGAATCATTTTGAAATGTACAACTTTCTGTTGTGCTGAAAGTCCTATTTGTTTTGGGACTTGAGAATATAATTTAGCTTTCTGTTTTTAAAGCCTGAAAATATTGGGACGGAGGTCCCACCTTCTGGAGTGCTCCAAAAGAAAGCAAATTTTTATGATTTTTTTTTCTAATTAGAAGGATATAATATATATTTATATGGAAATTACATTGATCTTTCCTCCCAGAGTGTCAGGTCTTGGGACCATGGTGGAGCTCTTAAGTGGCTCTGATGCCAATGCTGAGCAGATACCATGTCTAGGCAGTTGGAATGCTTGCTTTAGTTGCATTTCCAAAACTTGATGAAGAATAACTGCACATGTACATACATATGTGCCAAATCTACAGGAGACTGAAAGAACTCCCTGGCAGCTTGACTGCTTTTGTAGCAGGGTTATTTTGTGGCTTTTGCTGGCTGGTTCTTCTTAATAGCTTTTTTTTTTTTTTTTTTTTTTTGCAAACAACTTCAGCAAGATAATCTTACTATCAAAATCATAGCATTTGAGTGGCTGTGAATTTACCAAGAACCTGGTACCCAAAGAGGTACCACTAAGAGGAATTTGTTTAATGGTGTCTGTTACAGAGTAGATAGCTTCTTCTAAAGATGCATCCAAATATCCAAGCCCCCTTGGGAATGAAACAGTACACATTGCTGTGGACAAATATAGAATACTGATTCCCAGCTTTCAGTCTTAAACAAACTCTGAAATGCAGTGAGGCCCCAAAGGAATAGAAAAAGACTTGTGGTTTAAGAAGGAGATTTTTGGGGAGGGGCTGTATTCAATGGAGTTGTTGATAACTGGAGGGTTTCCTTCTAAACAGAATTGAGATGTACTTTTGCCTAACACCAAGGAAAGTGGAGAGGAAGGTTGTTCATTGGGACAAATTTCTCTGTTCTTTTGTTTGTTTTCTTCAGTAAAGCTTGGTTTCTCAATTAGAGTCCATCTTGTGGAGTTATTAGGTATAATGGGAAGTAAACAGAGATGAGAACTGAGGCAGTAGGACAGAATATGGGAAAGGACACAGTTTGAAGTTCAGACATAAAAGAAACAGCAATATGATGCACCCCAAGATGCCACTGAAGAACTATACCAAGCACATGAAAGACCAGGCTTTTTGAAACACAACAACAAGCTCATTTTAGTGCTCTCATTTTTTACAAAAGGCTTCTTGAAGTATCTGTTTGATGGAGAAGACAGAGTACTATAACAAGTCTGGTACAGCAGCCAGTCAGGACAGTTGAGTATGCATTGCCAACTGGAGTTACCATTTACAGGACAGAATATTATTATTATTGTTGCTAAGCTGCTTAGATAAGTTGAAAGTGAGGTGGTAACTGTGCCATGAGGTAGCACGTGCAATAATTCTGATATGCACCACCACTTTCACGAGCCTTGTGTGTATTAAGCAATCCAAACCAAACATAGATATTTACATAGAGAAACCTTTAAGAATAAGGAATGGCTGCTGATTTCATCTGAGCTTGCTGGTAAAGACTCAGGACACCAGCATCCTGATGTCAAAAAGAGAACTAGCCAGTCACTGAGCAGGACAGTACTGGATAAGAAACCACATAATATGTGACCTAGAAAATATGATGTTTTTCCACCCAGCCTTGGAAAACATAAAAGCAGAGTTCCTAAGGCAAAGGATAGCAACTTGTGCTTCCAGAAGAAATGAGGAATATTAAAAGTGACTTTTTTATGCTTCGGCTCAGTTTGAGACGGGATCTGCTATTTTGTGGTTTTTTCAGTTTTGGTTTGTGGTTGGGTTTTTTATTGAAGGCACACCCCAAGACTGTTATTAGCAGAAATACAGGGCTCCGTTTCTGAGAGAAATAGAGACCCTGCTAAACTCTTAATAAACTGGAGTCTTGTGCTGTTGTCTGCTGCCACACTTTACTATTTTCATAGTCATGGCAAAATTTTGAGAAATAGAAATTATATTACTGACAGATGGAATTGTTTCTGTTTAAGGACAGATGCTTTTTACACAGCTTTTATTTAAAACTATTTTTGAATAAGTGTTTGAATGCTGATTTACAGAAATTTAAAACAGCAAATTACCACTTTCCTAATAAAAATGAGTTTCCCTCAGTAAAATCTAGTTTTCAAGAAACTCACACATTTATGCAACATACAATATAACTAAATTAATTACACAGCCATATAACTAAATTAATTACATAGCCAGTATTTTTATGATATTCAAATATCATTTTGGGGGAAATAAACACTTCCTGAAATAACTCCAAAAATCCTTGGACATCTTTTACTTACAGATGCAGAAGTCTCCCCATTTCTTCTAATAACAAAGATATTACACCAAAATTTTTATAAGAAAAATGCATTTTTTTGTTGTTACCATAGTTAGACAGAAGCAAGGTATGGAGTAAACTCACTTCATCATGCTAAAGATGAAGCAACCCCATATGAATAATGGGAGAATAAATAAAATAACAACAGGGATTTACTACAATTGTTGTCTGGGCTTCATCTCCCAAGACACACTCCATGCCATGAGTCTGGTGAATGTGCCTTGCAGATTGGTCCCCAGTGCCTAAATTGAATTTTGGTAGATGTCAGCTCTCAGGACCACAGCAGAAGGTAGCCAGATGCAAATGGCAACTTTGAAAGTGCTGTGCTGCATCAGAAAGGAAAACTAAGTGAAGAACACATTCCAAGTCAACTGAAAAAAACCCTCAAGTCTTTTGTTTTGTGGTTGTTTTTATGTGTTTGTTTTTTGTTTTGTTTTGTTTTGGGTTTGTGTTTTTTTAAGTTTTGTTTTGTTTTTTTCCTGAAAATTTATTTTTAAAGAATTACTTTCACCACAGAGAAAGTTTCACTTCTGGTAATACAACATTTTTTTGTTATGGGGGCTACCCAGGAAAAGAATTCTGTCTGGTTCTTAAAATACCTCAAAAATGGTATTCTGTCTCTGGTAAATGAGAGGTGCAGTAACATGCTTTAGGGAGCACTGCTGGTTGGTACCATCCCTATAGCAGAAGAAAGCAGACTTGTATAAATTTCAGCTGACATAGACTTCATGCATGTGAAGCCCAAGATCAGACTTACAAGCTGCTGGCAAATTTTAGTACAGTGAGAAGGTATGGTTTTTTGTATGATGAGTGTGGCTTTATATTGGGGTTATTTTGGTTTGGGATTTTTTATTACAAACTACGAGCTTTGTCTAGCTAAGCTTAATTTCAGTGAGATCAGCTCCCTCTGACTTTCAGAAAAAAACCAAACCAACACCACTCTCTAGATACAACTGGGAGGACCCAAAAAACGGTTAATATTAAATGAGAATTTCCACCATGAGGTAAACAGAAATAAATGCAACTGTGCCACAAGGAACACCTTCATTACACTTGTGAAGTTCAAGTACACATCTGCTATAGACAGTAATTTATTTCCTGTGACTGTCTCACAGGTTTCAGCAGAGCATGTGGCTGAAGCTCAGTTGTTAAGATGCATCATCAGAGAAATTTATAATACCTACCGAGTGTTTATCGGGATGTAAATATAGAAAAGGTAAAACAAGCATATGAAAGATAAAACCCACAGACAGTTAAGTAAACTGTGTTTCCTGAAAGCTAAACATCTTCAAAGAGATATATTGAAAGGCAATGAATTTCAGAACACATAAATGACTATTGGATTTATAAAAGAGTTTTAGGCATTCCCATCTCTCATCCCATTTTGTTGACTTTCAAATGCCTAAAGAGCAGGCACTTTTTTTATGCTGGTGCAGCCTCAGCAGTTAATTGGGAAAGATGAAAAACACAGGTCACATGGAAAGGAATTAAATCAATTACAAGAGGGAAAGGTGAAATGCACTGTATGTAGGATTGTTTGATATGTTTTCTGGGGAGAAGTGGTTTTGCTTTCTCTTTCACCTTTTCCTTTACAAATTTTAATGCCTTATTATCTTTAGGAAGATGGCAGAAGGCAT